CCGCGCGTCCTCCGGCGGCGGGGGGCGCCAGCCGGTCACTCGTGCCAGGCTGGGGGTGGCACTGCCTCAGGCCTGGACATCCCCCCCGGGCTACATGCCCTGTATGGTTCCTTGCCATCGGGATCTTTCTCGTGACTGCCCAGGTCCCAGGCCCTCCTCCCCCTCCCCACTCGCTGGCCCCCCACATCCGTGACCACCAGGCCCCAGGCTGGACTAGGCTACGCCCCAGCTCCAGTTCGCCCTGCCCATCACCATGGCATAGGCAGAAGCTTGTACTGCAATTTAGGGGGTCAGATCCCTCCCCCGAGCCTCAATGCCCCTTGATGGCAGCTTCCTTCTTCCCTTCCCCCCCGAATGCGTCAGGACCCACTGCTGGTGTCTGGCTAACCAGCTGCCGCGTCCCACCCCAGAGGTGGCTGCATCTCATGGGGGGGCTGCTTAGAGCGAGCGCCGCGCCCCCGGCCGCACTCACTGCCTCGCGCTCCCGGTCCATGATGGTCTCCAGCTCCTCAAAGTGCCGCAGCTTGATCTCCAGCTTCTTCATCTGGGTCTCCACCAGCAGGGCCACCAGGGACTTGATCTTGCGCTCCTCCACCGCCGCCAGGTGCTGCTCAGAGTGGGGGGAGCTGGAGTTAGGGGCTGGTACTGACAGCTCAGGACCTCCACCCGGGCAGGGGGCGCGACCCAGACAGGGACAGGGAGTCCCCTGGCAGGGGCAGCCTGGCTGCTTTCACAGTGCCCATCCGTCCCCCTGGGGTTTAAAGCAGGAGTTTGGGCAGGGGGAAGGGAGGCTGGGAGCCAGGACTCCTGGGTTCTCTCTGCCTCTGGGAGGGGAGTGGGGTCTAGTGGTTAGAGTGGGGGTGGGGTGGTTTGGGAGCCAGGACTCCTGGGTTCTCTCTGCCTCTGGGAGGGGAGTGGGGTCTAGTGGTTAGAGTGGGGGTGGGGTGGTTTGGGAGCCAGGACTCCTGGGTTCTCTCTGCCTCTGGGAGGGGAGTGGGGTCTAGTGGTTAGAGTGGGGGTGGGGTGGTTTGGGAGCCAGGACTCCTGGGTTCTCTCTGCCTCTGGGAGGGGAGTGGGGTCTAGTGGTTAGAGTGGGGGTGGGGTGGTTTGGGAGCCAGGACTCCTGGGTTCTCTCTGCCTCTGGGAGGGGAGTGGGGTCTAGTGGTTAGAGTGGGGGTGGGGTGGTTTGGGAGCCAGGACTCCTGGGTTCTCTCTGCCTCTGGGAGGGGAGTGGGGTCTAGTGGTTAGAGTGGGGGTGGGGTGGTTTGGGAGCCAGGACTCCTGGGTTCTCTCTGCCTCTGGGAGGGGAGTGGGGTCTAGTGGTTAGAGTGGGGGTGGGGTGGTTTGGGAGCCAGGACTCCTGGGTTCTCTCTGCCTCTGGGAGGGGAGTGGGGTCTAGTGGTTAGAGTGGGGGTGGGGTGGTTTGGGAGCCAGGACTCCTGGGTTCTCTCTGCCTCTGGGAGGGGAGTGGGGTCTAGTGGTTAGAGTGGGGGTGGGGTGGTTTGGGAGCCAGGACTCCTGGGTTCTCTCTGCCTCTGGGAGGGGAGTGGGGTCTAGTGGTTAGAGTGGGGGTGGGGTGGTTTGGGAGCCAGGACTCCTGGGTTCTCTCTGCCTCTGGGAGGGGAGTGGGGTCTATCACCCATGCCGTCCCCGTCGCCCTTCTCCGACTCCTTCTCGCTGTCGCCCTCTTTGCCTTTCTCCTCCTCCTTCTTGGGCGCCTCGCCCAGCTTCTCCTTCACATCCTCCTCCATGGCGCCTTCTCGGGGCTCCTGGCCCCACGGGGAGAGAGGGGCTGAGGCAAAGGTGCCCGGGAAAAGACACCTCTGGACTGCTCCGATGGAAGGACAGCGCCCCCCCGCTGCAGGCCCAGCGCCCCCTGCTGGAGGACTGGCACCCCCAGCTAAGGCGAAGGACCAACCTCAGGCCTTCCACATTGGGCACGAGGGGCGGGGGATCTGTGACCCCATTGGTTCACTTCAGCCCCTCTCACACGGTCCCCCAGCTCCACTCCCCCCTCGGTGTCCCCCCAGGGGCAGGGCAGAGTCGTCCCTCCCTCCCTCTGTACCTTCAGCTCCTTCTTCTCCTCCGCAGGCTGAGATTCGGCCCGCGTCTCGTCAGCGCCGCTCTCCTCTGGGGTGGGGGGCAGACAGAGCCGGCTCCCGCCCCTCCCGGCCAGGAAAGTCACAACGATGCAGGGGGAGGGGATGCACTAAGGGCACGGGGCCGCCTGGGGCGATGGCGCAGCGCTCCGGGCTCCGGCCAGGCCTTGGACTCTCGGAGACCCGGCAGAGAGGGGCCAGAGGTGGATCGTGTGACGCTGACCCGTCGGACTGAGACCCAGCAAACTCATTTCACACAGGCCACACTGCACAAGGCCCAGCTCGGGCTCTCGCCAGGGCTACCGCCAGCCGCGCAGCCTGAGGGGCGTGGGGCTCAGCCCCGAGGCTCCGGCCCATGTGGGGCTGGCTATGCTGCAGGAGCAGGGCCCGGAATGGACGTGCTGCCGCAGGCTTTCCCCACAGTGGAGACGGGATGCTCCCAGGCACTCACCATCTTGGGCCAGGTTTGAACCCGTGTCGCCAGGAGGGAAAAGGCCCCGTGTCCCATTCTCCACCCCCTGACCTGGGGGCAGACTGGGGCAGGCACCCCTAGAGGGAACAGGCCCCATGGCTGGATCCTGACCCCGCCAGGCCCCGCCGGGGATCTCGCGTGCACGTGGGGGGTGAGGCAGTGGTGACGACGGGGTCCCTTACCCTGAGCCAGCTGATTGAGGGTGAGCTCCAGACCGGAGGCCAGGCCAGCTCTGGTCTCCTGTGGCTCCTCCCCTCTTCCCTCATTACCCTTCCTACTCGCCGCGCACGGAGCAGCGTCCGACGGAGGCCAGATCACGGGCGCCTCACGGGCCGAGGCGCGGAAGGAGCCTCGCTCGCCCCCCTCACCTATTCTCTCCGGCTCGTCGGACGCGGTCCCCGCGATCCCGCTGCTCTCCAGCCCGAAGGCCGGGTCGGCTTTGCCCGTCACCTTGGCCGCCTCCTCCACCTTGCGGACGTGAGCTTCTACCAGCGCCGTGGGCACCTCCTCCTTCATCTTGGAGAACTCCTCTGCCGAGCACAGCCCGGGTCAGCTCGCCGGCCCCTCCTTGCGCGGGGCACTGGCGAGACAGGCGCCGCCCTCTGCCCTTCCCCCCGTGCCCAGGGCTCTCCAGGGAGAGGGGCGTGCGCAAAGGCTGGACGGTCCAGGCTGGGGGAGGAAGTGCCCGGTGGCCCAGGTGCCAGGATAAAGGACTGAGCGGGGGTCTGCCCAGCCAGCTTGGAGCATAACAGCGCCTCCATGGGACTGGGACCGGTACTGCAGCACTGTTGGGCGCAGGCTGGTGCACTCGCTGGGCATGGGTCCAAGGGAGAAAAGGCCTCATGGTCCATCCTATGAACTGCCTGGAGCCAGCCTGCCCCCTGCCCAGGGCCCAGACTGGATCTGGTGCCCCCTAGAGGGGTCAGGCCCCATGGTGGGATCCTGACCCCTGGCTAAGCCCATATGGCCAGGACTGCTCCCCGGGGTTCTAAGCCAGGGATCTCCCCACCCCCCAGCTCGGCCAGGCCCGAAGGCCCAGCGGGGATGGGGCATTACCGAGAGCCGACTTGGCGGCCGCGGAGGCCACGCGGGGGTCCACGACGGAAGCCAGGAAGGCCACGGTGCTCATGACGGGGTTGCCCGACTGGCTGAAGGGGATAGGCTGGTAGGCCAGGGGCCCGAGCGACGCCTCCGAGTCCTCCAGGTAGGGGTCCTCGATGGGCAGACGCAGGAAGTGCAGGATGCACTCGTCCTGGGTGCGGCTGCCCACGTGCTCCGACACCTTGTTCCAGTCGTCCTTGTACATCTCCAGGGCCTGCGGGGAGGAGGGGGAGGACAGGGAGCCGGAGGGGCAGCCGGGCTGGTGCCAGTCCAGTGCCAGGGGGGCTCCCAGAGCCCTGCCCTCTCACCTCCAGCAGCAGCAGCGTTTCCTGCTCCGTCCACTCCCGGGTGGCGCTGGCGGCGGCTTTGCTCTGCAAGAGGAGACGGCGGGGTCAGTGTGGGCCACAGGGGCCCAGGGCCGGGCCCGGGGGCAGCCGCCCACCACCCGCCCCTACCTTGCAGGGGATGTTCTTCTTGGCGTACATGTCCGTGCGCAGGCCGAAGTTCTGCAGGTCCGTCGGCTTCTCCTTGCCCTTGTCGGGGAAGCTGAGCATCTGCTGAGAGGCCGAGGTCTGCTGCGGAGAGGAGAGGGGGCGGTGAGGCGCGGCTAGACCCCCATGCCAGCCTCGTCCCCCACTCTTGCATGGCTGCTGACCCCAGATCCTGGGGCTGCCCCATGCAGCTGCTGCTGCTCCCAGGGCAGCGGCTCAGCGTTTGCTCTTAACCGGGTATTGAGGGCTATGGTCATGAGGCAGAGGGAGAATGAGAGCTTAGACAGCGCATCTCCAGGGAGTCGAGTGGGGGGATGGGGTTCCCCAGCTGCACGACTGGGCTGCAAAAATTCCTTCCTGACCTTCTATCAGCTCACCCCCTCAAGCTTGATAATCCCCACCGCCACAGAACCCCCCTTCCACACTCAGCCGCAGCCTGACTCCCTAGCCTCCTGCAGCATGGAGTTCCACAGCTCTCCAGGAAATGGAGAGCAATCCACATCTCCCTCCCCTGCCTCCCACTGTGCTCCTGCAAGCTCCCCGACAGGGACACTCGCCTTCTACCTCCAGAGCAGGCTGCCGGGGCGTTTCCCAGGCCCACCTACCAGCTCAGGCTTCCCTTTCACCGCCTCCGGGACCAGGTCTTCAATTTCTTTGCTCTTGCGGCCGGCCTTCGTGTCGCTGTGCGGGTGGCCAGCCACGGACCAGAGCAGGGCACAGCAAGACCAAATCTGACGGGCTCAGGGACGGGGTCTCCCCCACCGCCCCGGAAGATCAGCAGGGAAGAGCTGCTCCCCAGCAGGGGGAGAGATTCCCAGGGACAGGAGACCCAGCCCCTCCCGGACATGCTGATTCCAGCCCGTTCATTCTCCCCCCCCTACCTGGGGCGTCTTGGGCTGCAGCGGCACCAGCCCCGAGGGGGTGTCGGCCAGGACGTGGAAGTGTGACGTTGGAGGGGGGCCCATCGGGGTCGGCCGGCTCTCCGCGTCCACCTGATAGTTGATCAGCCCCCACTGCTCCAGGAAGGCGTGGACCCTGCAGAGAGCAGCTGGTCAGATCCGGTCCCAGCCCCACGGATCAGCCCCACGGGTGAGGCGGAAGCACGGCTTTGTCCAGGCCTCTCCCTCTGTGTGATGCAGGTTGGGCCGGGCCATGAGCCCTGCAGCCCCAAGCTCCATTGGGGGGCCAGCTCGCTCCCCCAACCTCCACTAAGACGCCGCAGCCCAGGGCTGTCCCCACACCAGCCTCCGCTCTAGCGCCAGGCCCTGGCCTGGCAGCTGCTCCGTTCTCCCCAACCCACCGCATGATGGCACAGACGTCCCCGGCCAGGTTCCTGCGGCAGGCCGTCGAGGTCAGGTACTCCTGGGGGTTGAGCCGGTAGGTGTCGATCATGAAGTTGCGATAAGCCAGGTATCTGGGGGGAGGGGAGGGTTAGAACCAGGCCTGGCATCCTGCCGACACCCACCCGCTTTGCTGCATTCAGAACCCGCCGGGGCGGCGGCGGAATCTGAGACTCACAGGGTTGGTCAGGATCACGATTTCGTGCTCGATGGGGGAAACTGAGGCACGCCGGCAAAGTGATTCAACCAAGGTCACACGAGAGACAACAGAACCCAGGAGTCCTGGCTCCTAGTTGCCCTGCCAGCTCTAACCATTAGACCACACTGCTCCGAGAGCCAGGAACAGAAGCAAGTTTTGGCTCTCTCCCCACCCATCAGGTTCTACAGCTTGTAAGTTTCAGGCCAACTGCACAGAGCTACCGCGAGAGTTCCACACCCCGAGCCCCGGCTACTCCTCTCTCTGCGACACCCCGGCGCCGTGGGAATGGGAGCGTGCGGACAGCACCACGCACACAGCACCGGGCGGGGCGGGGGGAGCAGCCTTACATTTCGGGGGTCTTGGACTTGTTCTTGCCGTTGAAGAACTCGGGCAGGGCTCGGCGCTCGATGGCGTGGACACTGCGGGAGAAGCACACGGCGGGGCGTCAGCGCCGTAGGCCTCAGAACAGGCCTGCGGGGCAGAGCCCCTCCCCCCCGTACCTGTTGTAGTCGAACCAGGCGGCGTAGCTGGGGATGATGATGTGGTGAGTCTGCTCCGTCACGTTGTCCTCGTGCAGGTCTGGGTTCTTGGCCTGCTCCCCTTTGTTCCCCGCGCTGTTCTCCTCCTCATCCTGGAACCAGACAGCTCCAGGTGGGTGGGGGGGCGCCCCACAGACTCGCCGCCGGCCCTCTGCAGTCCTCGGGCGCGGCGCTCTAACCCAGTGGGGCACCAGCAATGGAGACTCAGCCCCAGAGCCCTGCACGGTGCGACCATGGTGCCCCAGCAGAGACCCGGAGAGCTCCCGGCGCCGGGCACGCCGCAGGTCCAGCCACGGCAGATTTTGAAGGGGGAGTGGGAGGCTGTTCCCAGCGCAGAGGGCTGGGGGCATTTGAAAGCTGCCATCATGCTGGGAGCAGGGGGGAGGACGGGTGCCGCTGCGTGTGCCGAGTCAAGGCAGGGACGTCCGTTTCTACCCGGCTGATTGCGGCTGGAAGGGGGGAGGGCAGAAGGGGGCGCAGGGCAGAGGTGTGGTGAGAACGGGGCAGCCGGAAGGCCGAAGCGATTGCCCCTGCCTGGCAGTCTCACCTTGCCGGCCGTCTCCATGCTCTCGTCCTCCTGCTCGTCTGGAAGGGAAGGGCAGACGGGTCAGTGCTCAGGGAGCCTGGGCCAAGGGGGGGGGATGTCCCCCCCCCCACCGACACAGCCGGGCTACAGGGAAAATTAACCCCTCGGGGCAGGGAAGGAGCCATTGCCCTAGGTGGCCCAGAGGAAGCTCGCCTGCGCTCACTGCGGGGCGCCTGCCAGGGGCTGCATCTCCTTGCAACCCGAGGGGAGGGGTGCCCAGGGGTTCCTTACCCAGGTCGGTCATGGTGCCCCCTTTCACGGGCGCAGATTCCGAGTCCTTCTTGGTGTTCACTGTACCAGGGAGAAAGGGAAACGCTTTACTGGGAGCGCCCGGCCTTGGAGAGATGTGCTACTCTCCCCTCCCCCAGCAGGGGGCGCGGTGGGCGCATGACAATTGCCCCGGCTGTGGGTCCCGGCCATTCCAGGCATAGCCCCTGCCAGCAGGGGGCACTATGGGGGCAAGGTGGAAATGGGGACTGTGGGGGGGAACGTCCGGTGACTCCAATCCCACCCTCCCCCCACAGGCACTGCAAGGAGTGAGGCAGGAGCGCGGGTTGTGGGGGAAGCCCCCAGCCTCTTCCGGGGCTGGCGGGGAGGGGCTGTAGGACTCCATGGAGGGCCGCCGCCCAGACCTGTTTTGGGCAGCGTGACCTCCTCCACGTTGGGGACAGGGGAGGGCTCGTCCATGTCCTTCGTCAGGTCCTCTTGCTCCTCCTCGCGGTGCCCGCGCTTGGACTTGGTGTAGGGGGTCGACGGGCTGCAGGGGAGGAGAAACCCAACGCGCCCCATTGCCGACGGCTGCAGGAGACCAGACGGCCGGCCGTGGCGCAGCCCCCTCCCCGAGCCCCCCAGCCCCGGGGCAGGCGCTGCCTGGCAAACAGACGCCCCCAGGACCCCTTTGGAGAGCGAGGCCGGAGCAAGGACTGGCCCCAGCTCCAGATGTGGGGCCACGGGCCACACACCCAGCCCCTGCCCAGGTCGCTCAGCCCCGAACCTGAGCGGGATTCGAGCCAAGGCGGATGGGGGCAGATGCTCCGCCCCCTTCCCACAGAAGATTCCCCGGGGGAGGGGCTCACCCTTTCTTGGCGTTCTTCTTCTTGGCCTCCGGGGTGGGGGATGGGGAGCGCTTCCTTTTCTTGTAGTTCCCCCCCTTCTTGTCCCGCCGATCCGAGTCGGGGCTGTTCACCTAGAGCCACGGGAGGGGCAGACGTGCTCCTCAGCACCCGGGCGGCCCGGCTCCATCTTCCCCCTCCCTGCCGCCCCCAGCCCATCTATTCGCCATCGTTTGGATCTGCTGGGGGGGCGATGCCCCCAGACCCGCATGGCTTTGAAAGCCTCACACGTCCCCACAGGAGGCAGGCCGCGACTGCCTCCCTCCTACGAGCGGAGAAACCGAGGCACAGCCGGGGTGACACAAATTCCAAGGCCAGAAGGAACCGCTGTGATCTCTGGAGAGCCAAGCCGGAGACCTGCCCCGCAGCATGTCCTAGAGCAGAGCTTTTAGGGAAGCAACTGCCCTCGATTTCAGAACGGTCAGCGACGAAGGATCCACTGGGACCCCCGGGAAATTGGTCCAGCAGCTAAGACGTACGCTGTATTTCCAGTTTGACCATGTTAGCTTCACCTTCCAGCCCCCCCAGATCGCCTGAGACCCCTCTGCCCAACCCACGGTTCTTCCTCACACAGGTACCTGCTCACTGAGATCAAGTCCCCACTGAACCATCCCCCTTGGGTTAGCCCAGTGGACCTAAGATCTTTTCGACCATTTGTGGAACCGTCTGCAATGGCCTTCTGGACCCAAAGGGGCCCCACAGGCTCCCCCACCTGGAGCTGGGACTAGAACTCTGGAGTCCTGGCTGCCAGCCCATTGTGCTCTAACCACTAGCCCCCACTGCCCAAGCTGGAGGCAGAACCCCGCTGGGAACCTTACTTCATCAGTAAGCGTCTTGGCGGAGATTTTCTTCCTGCGGGAGACAGGGCTCTTCTCGTCGTTCACCTCGTAGTCCTCCTCGTTCATCCACTCGTTGAAGGTGTCCGTGTCGAGGATCCACTTGGCATGGACCTGCAGGGGAGGGACGGGCCCGGCTTGGCAGGGTGAGTGGCCGTGGGGGAGCGGATGGGAAAGAGAAGAATCGCTCCCCCCCAGCACCAAATGGCGCCACGGGGAACAACCCCCCCCAAAAGCTTTGTGGGGATCCCATACATTTGGGAGGGGGGCAAATAAGACCCCGCCAAATTGACTGCACATTATCGGGGGAGGGCTGACGAGGCTTCCTCAGGGGGGCAAGTCAGAGCCATAGAGTGTGCAATGACCCACTGATGTCATAGGTGCGCCCCCAGGGTCAGGTCCCAACTTCCAGGGGGCCCTGAGGCCGGCCAGCAGCCAACCCCAATGGGGTGTATACCATGAGCCCCCGTACCTTCCGGGGCTTCTCCGGGGTGGGCGCATCCTCGACCGCAGCTTCAATTTCACTCGCTGGGATCCAGGTGTCGTAACTATGGGGGAGAAACACGGGGAGTGGGGGGCAGCTGCGTCTCCCCACCCCAGCCCACAGGGACCCCCTTGGCCGATATGCCCCAGGTGTTGGAGGGATTCGCTTGCAGCTCTCCATGGCGTGCCCCGGCATGCCACCGCAGGGCAGCTGATCAGCCTGGCCCTTTCTCCAGTGAGACACACAGGGCAGGTCCCCTCTGGGAGCGCCCATGGCTGAGCGGAGAGGGAGGAAGGCGCCTCCCAAGAGAGATGCACAAAGCTTGTCGGGCTTGAAATGAACAACATGGTGACGGGTCTCCTCCCCCCGCTTTATAGAAATTAGCTTAGGAATAGAAATACGCATAACGCTAGACAGGATGTGGACGCGTTGGAGAGGGTCCAACAGAGGGCGGCCAAAATGATTCGGGGGCTGGAGCACATGACCTACGAGGAGAGGCTGAGGGACTTGGGTCTGTTTAGACTGCAGAAGAGAAGAGCGAGGGGGGATTTCAGAGCAGCCTTCAACTACCTGACGGGAGGTTCCAAAGAGGCTGGAGAGAGGCTGTTCTCAGTAGTGACGGATGGCAGAACAAGGAGCAATGGTCTCAAGTTACAGTAGGAGAGGTCTAGGTTGGATATTAGGAAAAACTATTTCCCTAGCAGAGTGGTGAAGCGCTGGGATGGGTTCCCTAGGGAGGGGGTGGAGTCTCCATCCCTACAGGTGTTTAAGTCCCGGCTTGACAAAGTCCTGGCTGGGTTGATTTAGTTGGGATTGGTCCTGCCTTGGGCAGGGGGCTGGACTGGATGACTCCTGAGATCTCTTCCAGCTCTTTGATTCTATGAACTCACAGATGTTTTAAACCAAGTACCTCACGGAAGCTCTCAGGGTTAAGGTTGCATTGGGCTGAATGTGCGTCTCCTATCTTTGAGCACGTATTACTCTTGGATGTGAAGTTCGAAATATGAAGTGAGACTCTGTTTGTAATTTTACATGTGCTAACGCGAGATATGACTGGTGTCCTGGAAGCTTAATGACTTGATGATCAACTCAACAACTTGCAAGCAGCCTTGTTTGTCCTGTAAAACTAGAAGGTGGCTGGTGCTAGAAAGACACGTGACCAGACCACCGGGTACTGAGATCCAGTCTGAATCCAGAGTCTCTTCATGGGAATGGAGGTTCCAAACAAATGATTCCCACCATGGGGAAGAGTCTATTTAAGCAATGGGAAGCTATCAGCTGCTGGCCGGCAGCTGGCTTTTGGAGCGGCCTCGCCCACTCGAAGGGGGAAAAATGAACGTTGAAGAGGGCTGGAGACCCAAGTCAGAGTAAAAGAGTTTGTCTCTGACTTGAAGGTTATGTCTGAAATAAGAACAGCTCTTTGGGGTAAGAATCTTCATGCAATAAGTTTCTTACTATCAGGCCCAGAGTAAATAATTGTTACCTGGGAGGACAATGATCTGTCTATTTCCACTTGCAACCTCTGAAATCCCACTGTTTGTACTTAATAAAATTCACTTTTGTTTACTAACAGGCTGTGTAAATAACTGTTCCCTTGGAGGAGTATCTCTCCCTTTCATGGATAAAGGAGCTTACCGGATAAGCGTTCCCTGTAAAACTTTTACACAGAGATGGATTCAGTTGGGGGTTTGATCCCTTTTGGAGGCTGGTTTCCCGGGCGCTGAGCCCCAGACCCGTGTCGTCCCAGAGCTGAAGTGGTTCAGTGTCTGCATTGCTCTACAAGGGGGTTGGTAACCCTAACTCTGTGCCTTGTCTCGGGGAGACCAGAGCTGGTTCAGTGGGACAGGGCGGTGGAGAGCCCCAGAGAGCAGGTAGGAGAGCATCAGTGGCATGATCAGCACACTGGGGAACAATCCCAAGGGGACTTCTGTCATCACAAACGTGCAAACCCAGTTCTCGGTCCTGGGGCTGCAGCCAAGCCGACGGGGGTCTCTTGCACACACACCCAGGGCCCATCCCCCGTAGTCTCCGACTCACCTGTCTGGGAAGTAGCCCCAGTGCAGGAGGACTTGCTTGTCTCTCTTCATGATGGGCCGAACCCACTCCTCTGTGAGAGACGGGAGTGAGAGCTGGAGTGAGAGCCGGAGGCTGCCCTGGGCGTCACATCGGCACTGCCTGGATTGCTACCAAGGCCCGTGGAATCAGCCTAAGACTTCAGCCTTCTCTTTCCCCTAGAGACTCACCTGCCTGCCAGCCCTCAGGGGCGTGGGCTGCAGACCCAGCAGCCACCTTCCTGCCAGGTGCTCTCCAAGACTGGGAGTGAAAAGCATCCAGCGGAAAGCGCCGGGGGATTCAGGGAGGCTGAATGGACCCGCCCAGCCCTCTACACCCTGGCTCTTCAGTGACCAGCCCAGGCCTGAAGTCTCCTCTGGGAGATGGTGTCGCTAGCAGCACAGCCCCCCCGCCACCCGCCCACGAGGGCACTGGCTTCAGCGCCAGCTCTCTGGGGAGAGAGCTGCATTAAAGTCAGCTGCTCCCGCTCAGCGTCTCAGCCCAGCTGCTCTCCCCTGGCTGGCTTTGCTGTTCATCTCCCGCCCTTTGCCGGCAGGTCTCTGGGTCATTTCCCCACCAAGAGCAAACCCCTCAGGGCCCCGTTCCCTGCATGCAGCCTGGGTCCAACCCTGCTCTTTGTGCCCCAGGCAGGCAGCTGCCCCCGGCAGACCGAGCCCTTCTGCCCCAGTTCTCACTGCTGGCTTGAGATGGAGGCAGGCCCCAGAGACGCCGTGGGAGTCTGTCCGTTCACTGCAATGGGGGCTGGATCAGCCCCGACTCCTGCTCTGGCCTGGGCATGGAGGCCAGGAGCTGGAGGAGTGCACGAGCTGTTGCCTCACCCTCCTCCAGGTTGCCGGGGACGGGGAAGACGACGTGGGAAGCGTTGTTTCTGTCCTCAGTGACCGTGCCCTGAGGGGAGATCAAAGGAGCACGTCAGAGGCGCAGAGCCAATGGCGGACGCTGAGCCAGGCTCGGCTCTTCCTGCAGCCTGGAGACGGAGATGCCCATTCCCAGGGTAGATGAGGGACGAGCGCCTGCGACATGCCAGCCTCCCCCTCGCCCGGACTAGCTCTGTGGGCCCCACCTACCTGGTGCCGCTTGATGATGTCCTTCAGCTTGCCCAGTAGCTTGGGTTCGAGCTCCTGATGCAGGAAGATGTTAGGCCGGGCCAGGCAGTTGTTCTGGGGGAGGAAGAGGGGAGTCGAGCAGTGAGTGCGGGGGGACAAGGGACGAGTTGAAGGGAGACAAAGGAAGGGGGTGACCAGGCTGGTTACCTGCACCAAGGATTTCTCGATGGTCATGAACATCTCCACGTTGCGATCCATCCGCGAAGGGTTCTGGAAATCGAAACGCCGCCTTATTGGAAGAAAAGAGCAACTCTCATGAAAGCTACAGCTCACGCCCCCCAGCCCAGCCGCCCCTCCCTGCACCTGGGCGGGGGGGTGGATGGGAACGGACCCCTCCCTGGATCCCACACCTAAGCCCAAGCCACGTGGCAGGGCCACGAGAGGGCTCCGCGCCGGGTGGGGAATCCTTTGAGCTTTGCTCAAGGGGAGAGCCCGGGTCTGCATTCATGGCACCTGCTTACCATGGCAACGGGCTCTTGGAAGCAGGCCCGGACTGGGTATTTCCCCTCCTAGCCCGTGCATGTGGGTCTCACTGCAGCCACCCCATTGCTAGGGGGCCTGGCCAGCCAAACTGCTTCCTCCAGGGAGACTGAGTCCTTCAGTCAGTCACCAGGGGGCACAACGAATCCCCTCCCCAAACCCATGCCTCCTCAAGATCAGAGCCGGGGGCCCAGAGTAGCACCCCCCTACAGACACCCCTCAGGCTGGTTTGACCCCAAAGTTTACAAGAACAAAGCTTGGCCCCTCGCAGCCCTTGATGGTCCATAATGCAGACTCGGCTCTCCTGCCTATGGGAGCCAGGGCACTGCTGTCCCACCACGTCCATCTGCTTGCGCGTAGGGAGACGGGGGGCTGTCCACCCGCCCCGCGTGAGGCGTGAGACGAGTGGGTGGGGAAGGGGGCCGCTCACCATCCTTGGTCGCTCTTGAATTTATAGGCTGCGGCGAGGATGTGGCACAAGGACCCTCCCGCCTTGAAGTCCAAGAAGCACTTGATCTGCAACAAAGGGGCGGGGGAGGGCAGGAGAGAGACTGAGCCACAGAGAAGAGGAAGGCGAGACACAGCCGGTGAGCACGAGTCGTCTCTTTTGGAGCCATGGGGGAGCACTTCCGAGGTACACGCCTGCTCCCGGCAATCCAGCACCCACCCCACCTCCCGCTGGGTCACAGGAAAGGCAGCACCTCCCTGGTACCCGCGCTGGGGGGCGCGTGCTCATGGCGGCGAGGATTTCACCTGCCAAAATCCCACCATCAAACTGTAGCGGGGTGACAGCGGCTGGCACAGAGCAGGCTGTCTCTCGCCCAGGCTGCCCTCCCCCGGGTGCGTGAACGGGCGGGCTGCTCCGTGAAGGGACACCCCTCCCCCTCTGCCCCGTCTGACTCGGCCCGGCTGCAGCACTCACCGGCAGCTTGGTGAGCGGCGCGTTGCTGACATGTTTGCCGAAAACCTCCTCCTGGAACTGCAGCAGCTGCACCACCAGGCTGGAGAGGGACTTGTTGGTGGGAGGCTCTGCCTGGATGTACTGCGGGAAGAGGCGGAGAGGGGATGTTTCAATAACGTAATGGGACCCAGGAGTCCGGACCCCCCGGCTCCCGGCTGGCCTGGACACGCAGGAGGCAGGCCTGTGGCAGAGGACGTGCTGCGAGCCAGGCATCAGCCCTCAGGTTCTCTGGCTCCTCGGGTTACCGGATGGTTTAAAAAAAATACTGGACACACTTGATCTCAGATCGGGGGGCCAGGGCTGGGGGAGATCAGGGAGGGGGGCGGGAACCGGCCAGCTCATAGTGGCAGGCCTAAACTATTAATTTCATTTAGCGACTGCTAGTTCATATGTTGTGGGAATAAGTAAATAACTTTTCCTTATTCACTTTTTCCATACCAGTCATGATTTTATAGACCTCTGTCATATCCCTCCTCTTAGCCTCCTCTTTTTTAAGCTAAAGAATCCAAGTCTTTTTAATCTTTCTTCATATGGGAACCGTTCCAACCCCCTAATAATTTGTGTTGCCCTTTTCTGAACCTTTTCCAATGCCAATATATCTTCTTTGAGATGAAGAGACCACATCTGGATACAGTATTCAAGATGTGGGCGTACCATGGTTTTATATAGAGGCAATAAGATGTTTTCGGTCTTATTCGCTATCTGTTTTTAAATTATTCCTAATATTCTGTTTGCTTTTTGGACTGCCACTGCACACTGAGTGGATGTTTTCAGAGAACTATCCACAATGACTCATAAGAGCTCTCTCTTCGTATAGGTTACCAGCTGGCTTTCAAAAAAAATACTGCACACACATGATCTCAGAATGGGAGGAGGGGGCACCGGCCAGGAGAGGAGAGGGGCTAGTCAGGAGGGATTCAATGGGAGCAGGGCTGATGGGGGAGGGAACCAGCCAGCAGGAAGCAGGGCTGGCCGGGAGGTGGTTGGAGGAAGCAGGGGGGAACCAGCTGGCAGGGAGCTGCCCGTCCCGTGCACAGTCCCAGCAGGGTGCACAGGCAAGTCTGGCCCCAGGGATTCCATCCTAGCCTGGCCCCACCCTTCTCCTCTCTACTGCGTAGCTGCGTGCTGCCCAGCTGGTAGACACGCTCATGCAGTGTGAAAAAATAGTGCATTTCATTCAAAATTACTAGACCCAAAGAGCAGTAAACAAAGGCAGGAGATGTACTGAAAATTCCAAAGTTTCTTATTCTGATTTATATAGTGCACTAATCAACATCTCTCTCTCTCTCTCTCTCTGTTGAGAGTCTGAATGTGGGGCTCCTTTCTTGCCGTTGTCAGCCTGGATTGGAGTTTGATTTGCCATTCCATTTGCCTGCAGACCTGAGCCCAGACCAGGCCCTGCCACGCCGAGGACTGGCAGATCGATATCCTGATACCCGCTGCTCAGAATAACGCCCATGCCAAAGAAAACTGAAGCCCTGAGAAGGAAAGTGACTTGCCCATGGTCCCATAGCAGCTCAGGAACAGAGCCCAGCTCTCCCAAGTCACAGCCTGATGCCCTGTTCCCTAGAGCATCTGGCCTGACCTTTCTGCAATGGGAACAAGGCACACGAGACTGTCTCAGAAACCAGACGAGACCTTTCGTGGCCAGTTATGGGACGTTTTCTCCCAGCCCATGGCAATCCAAGGCTGACTATTCTTGAGGCAGGAAGGTTTGTGGCCCCTTCTGTCCTACTAATAGAGCTGTGGATGTGCTCAACAGCCAGAGGAATAGGGAAAGGAAACTTGGTCTCCGGGAGGTCTGGTGGCCAGAGTTCCCTGTGAGGTTGTGCGGCCGCTCGTGAGATTCAAATGCTGCCTAGCTGATTAGCAGCGTCCCCACAGCTAGGTTTTGTGTTTCTACTGGTGGTGCACATTCACACATGCCTCGAGTGCACATAAAGTTATTCCGCACGTGGATGGAAAAAAATCCACACATGGATGGGAAAGATTAGAGGGAAGAGAGGTTGTGACATGGGGTTTGCCAGGCTAGTTACACCTTGTATTTCCTTCCATCGCTTTCAAACATGTTGCTTTTGTTTCCCTGGGTGACCCCCTTCCCCGCTTGCTCTTGTCCACATGATGGAGGGAGGAGAGATGCTCAAGCTTCTTGAACCCATTTGTCACATCATATCCATCTACCCCATCTCCATTCTTTCCACTCCCAGCCTTGCTCTCTTGGGGGCCCGTATAACACCTGGTTTTACAGGTACCAGACGCTCTGGGTTTTGCGGGGTGGCCAGCATCTCAGGCATTCAGCAGCTACATGCCTTTGAGGACCTGAGCCTGAATTCCTATATTGGTCTGGTCCATCTAGTCTTGCATCCCTTTGAATTGGGGGGATAAGCGCAAGGCGCTCCAACCCTAGAAAGAAGAGGCCTATGAAATCTCAGGGCCCCTCTGGCAGAGCCCCAGCTGAAGCTAGATGGCCCAGCAGGTGGGGAGAGGCTGAGGGGATCGCTGGCTGGGATGTTCTGTCCCCAAGGGTGCCTTTTGTCAGACTGAGTGCAGCTCTTTTTAAACAGAGGCAGCATTGGGGGCCTGGCCCTGGGGTCTGTCTGGGAACCAAGACTCCCAGGAAATAAACAAGCAGATCATATCGGCCATTCCATACAAAGGCCTTTCCCTGAGGACCATGAATTGCAAGGGGCAGGAATTTGGCTGACCACGGTCCCGCCTCTGCCCCAAGGAATGGCTTCTTCGTCTTTCCCTGGGCCGCTTTCTCCTTCCACCCTTTGTCTTGCCTGTGATGACTGAGAGAAGGACGGTCTCTCGCCATGTGTCTGTCCAGCACCCAACCCAAGGGTGCCCTGATGGCGTTTGGTTCCCCCCCTCCAGCATCACTGGAATAATCCAGAGCAATAAACTGCGCTTGTTTCAAACTCTGAGGCAACCCAAAGCAAATGCCCCATGTAGCTATCTGTAGGTGACAGAACAAGGGGCAATGGTCTCAGGTTGCCGTGGGGGAGGTAGAGGTTGGTTATTAGGAAAAGCTAATTCCCTAGTAGGGTGGGAAGCGCTGGGATGGGTTGCCTAGGGAGGTGACGGCATCTCTATCCTTCGAAGTTTTAAGCCCCGGCTTGCCAAAAGCCCTGGCTAGGGCAATGTAGTTGCGGTTGGTCCTGCTTTGAGGACGACCGCCTGAGGTCTCATCCAACTCTAGGATTCTGCTGGAGGTGACGCGTATTTCACCCAATTGGTATGGGTGTGGGCACAGAGATGATAGTCAGCAGGCAGCCTGGCACATGGGGGCAGAGCCTTTAGCTGAAGATAGTTAGGGGGAGGGGAGTGAAGGACGTAGGAACGGCCGCACTGGGGCAGACCAATGGTCCCTCCAGCCCAGCCAGGGCTTCAGAGGGAATGAACAGAAGAGGGCAATTAGCTAGCGAGCCATCCCCTGTCCGCCAGTCCCAGCTTCCGGCAGTGGTTCAACCCTGCGAGGGTGTGAAAAGGCCAATTCCCAGTGAGCAGGGATGGCCAGGTCAGCCTGTCACTCCAGAGCCAGGAGCTGTCTGGTGACTCAGCTTCTCGCTGCCTGTGGAAGGTCAAAGGCAACAGCCTGGGAACCACAGACCCATGCTGCTTGCATGACAGCACAAGGGGGAGGCGAGGGGGTTGGAAGAGCCAGGTGGGGCCCGCAGGACCCCGCCCACACGCCCTATGCTGAGACAGCGCAGCAGGTGGCTGGATGATCGTAACCCTAAAGCTACCCGTGCAAAGAAAAGACTCCTCGCAGCCCAGATCTGGTGACGGTTTCACGGGAGTGAGGGATCCCAAGCCCTAGTATAGGGGCTTGGCTCGGTCACTTTTCCCCGCACACAGGCTGGCCTTTGTCTCGGCACAGGCAGGCAAAAGGACTTGGGTGAAAGATGGACAAGGATCCGAGGGGAGACCGACGTTATCAGCTGCGGGGCTGGGGGCTGGGCCCCCCCGAGAGGGGATAGGAAATGGAGCAGTTCCTAGTGGGAGCCTGGCTCGCATCTCCGCACACCAGGAAGGGACACGGCTCCCAGCCAGGGTGGGTGAGATGGGGGACCCAAGAGAGTGTTAAGGGGGCACCTTCCCCAGGACAGATGTGGTTAGGTGGGGAACAACCCCCCTCCCCCTTCCTGTACAAATCAGATCAGCCCCATGCACTGTAAGGCCGCTGCGGAGCTGGGGGGAGTAGAGGGGGAATTCAATGAGGTGCTGAGACAGGGGTAGGTGATTGGAAGGGAATTAAGGCGCTGGAAGGCGGAACAGGAGGGTCGCTGGGGGTGAACGAGGGGTTCAGGCAAGGAGGGGAAAGAGGCTGTAATGGAGGAGCAGGGAAGGGACTGCATAGGGGAACGGGGGCCCTGAGGAGATGGGAAGGGGCTGAGGGAATTCAGAGGAGGGGGGGGTTGTGAGCTGCCAGTGAGGCTGGGGATCAGCAGGGAGGATGGGGCACGGGGGATGTGGGTCAGTATGGAGCACAGGTGCCAGTGGGGCACAGAGGATGGGGGTCAATGGAGAGGGCAGGCACCAGTGGGGCATAGAGAACTGAAGTCAGTGGTTAGGACAGGCACCAGTGGAACATGAGGGGGGAGTGTCAGTGGGGAGGAGAGACACTGGGGGGCACAGAGGATGGGGGTCAATGGAGAGGGCAGGCACCAGTGGGGCATAGAGAACTGAAGTCAGTGGTTAGGACAGGCACCAGTGGAACATGAGGGGGGAGTGTCAGTGGGGAGG